AGCCCAGGCTGGTCTTGAACTCACAGCAATCCTCCTGCCTCAGCCTCCCAAGTACTGGGATTACAGGCATGCACCACCATGCCTGGCTCATTTTTATAATCTTTAAATTTTGAGACAGGGTCTTGCTATTTTCCCTAGGCTGACCCTGAACTTGTAATTCTCCTGTCTTGGCCTCCTACACAGCTGGGATTACAGGCATAGGTCATCATGCCCAGCCCAGCACGTTTGTTCACATTTGTAACATTTTCCTTGACCCAATAGACTTAGCAATCTCCTTCCTTTCCCTAATAGGATCATAAAAAAAAAGATCTGGAGAAGGTTAGCACCAAGCTGAATTCAGTTTGTAAAGGATCAGAAGGAATAGGGTACAGATACTGAAGACACACAGGAAGAACAAGAAAGTACTGTCAGTAGAAATGCCCTTTAACTGTACCAGAAAGCAAAGCCAAGAGAAGACTCTGGAGCCTAAGAGTCCTACATAAGCTGTAGATAGTTAAACAATACAGCTACACCCTGGCCAGGCATGGTGGCGCATGCCTATAACCCCAGCACTCAGGAGGCTGAGGCAGGAGGATTGTTGTGAGTTCGAGGCCAGCCTGGGCTACAAAGTGAGCTCAAGGCCAACCTGAACTGCATAGTGAGACCCATCCCAAAAAGACAAAAACCCAAAAAGACAAAAAAAAAAAAAAAAAAAGAAAAAAAATACAGCTACACCCTACCAAGGAAAATGTAAAACACAGAAAGGTTGGGGAGTGCTCACAAAGGGAAGCAAGGTGCATACCCAAACTTCCTCTCTCTACCAAGTGAACCAAGGCAATCTTGAAAGTCAAGCACAGGGTCAAACTCTGAAAAAAATCCAGAGGCTTCAATGTACCTATTAAGAAGCTGAGATCTATGATTACTTGGGAAAGCCCTAGTGGCAACTGAATAGAAAAGAATCTCTTGTCTTTTTTTTTTTTCCATACTGGGGATTATACCCAGAATATTTACATAGAGCTATGTCTCCAGCCCCTTTTTATTTTTTGTTTTAAGACAGAGTCTCACTAAGTCTCTTAGTTGCCAAGGCTGAGCTATAATTTGTGATCCTCCTGCCTCTGCCTCTCAGAGTGCTGAGATTACAGGCAAGCAAGACCACACCTAGCTAGCAATCTCTTGACTTTACAAACACCACTAAGCAGTAGCTCCTCATCTTTTAGGAATCTCATGGAAAGCTGGGCATGGCGGCAGATGCCTCGTGATCCCGGCACTCAGGACACAAAGGTGGAAGGATTGCTACAAGTTTGAGGCCAGCCTGGGCTACATAGTGAGTTCAGGGCCAGCCTACACTACACAGTAAGACCTTGTCTCAAAACCAAAAAAATTAAAACATAAAAAAAATCTCATGGGAACTATGGGCTTTCAATAAGGAGATTGTACAATCGTATAATATTTACCACACAACCTCAGGGCTATCATGTATTTCTAAAGTCTGGCCACAGAACTCAAATTAAGAATCCCTATTTTGCTGGGTGCAGCGATATACAACTGAATTCCCAGCTATTTGGAAGGGCTAGGCAGGAAGATCTAACCTGAACAACTTAGTGAGACCCTGTTTCAAAGGAAAAAATAAAAGTGGTGGGTGGGTGGGGCTCAATGGTAGAGCTTGACTAGCATCCACAAGACCCTGGGTTCAATTCCCAGTACCACCAAAAAAAAAAAAAGAGAAAGGGAGGGAGGGAGGGAGAGAAGAGAGGAAGAGAAGAAGAGAGGAAGAGAGGAAGAGAGGAAGAAAGAAAAAAGAAAGAAAGAAAGAAAGAAAGAGAGAGAGAAAGAAAGAAAAAGTACTACCTGCATTAATATCCTTCTTTAGGTTTTGTTTTTTTTTGTCTTTTTGAGACAAAGTCTTGCTATGCAGTTCAGGCTGGCCTTGAGCTCACTTTGTAGCCCAGGCTGGTCTCAGACTGGCAAGGATCCTCCTGCCTCAGCATCCTGAGTGCTGGGATTACAGGTGTGTGCCACCACACCTGGCTTAGGTTTTAAAATACTTTCAATGATCTGGGAAAAAAAAGTGGTCAAGAATATTCACTTTCTTGCATTTCTTCCCTTTAGGATTTAGAATCTCTGAATCCTAAAACCTAAGTACCCTCACACTTTGGTTTCCAGCAGTGTGAACACACAGCCTAAGGATAAGAGAGGGGCCAGGATTATAGTTTCTTCAGTAGCAGCCGGGCATGGTGGTGCATGCCTGTAATCCCAGCACTTGCAAGGCTAAGGCAGGAGGATCGGTGCGAGTTTGAAACCAGCCTGGGCTACAAAGTGAGTTCAAGGCCAGCCTGAACTGCATAGCGAGACCTTCTCTCAAAAAGAGAAAGAAAAAAAAAATACAGTTTCTTCCAGTAGGGCGTACCTCATTTCTCGAAGACGCTTCACATGCTGAACGCATTTCTCCACAGTGTAGTCTACTTCTTCCTCAGTCGTGAAGCGGCCAATGCCAAACCTGAAGAGGGTACGGGGAAGAGTGCTCCATCAGAAGTAGCACCAGGTTAAATTTATTTGGCCAATATCCACTGAAGATCTACTATGTAAAGTCAAAGAGATGCGAACACAGGGGCTAGAGATTTAGCTCAGCGGCAGAGCGCTTGCCTGGCAAGCGTGAGGTGGTGAGTTCGATTCCTGGTACTGGAAAAAAAAAAACCCAGAAAAAAAGAGAACACAGACCTTCCCATTTAGGCCAGAGTTTCTTAGAACATGGTCTGTTTTTTGTTTTGTTTTGTCTTTTTCATACTGGTTCTCACTATGCAGTTCAAGCCAGCCTTGAGCTCAGTTTGTAGCCCTGGCTGGTCTCGAACTCACAACAATCCTCCAGCCTCAGACTCCCGAGTGCTGGGATTACAGGCATGCGCCACCACGCCGGGCAGAACATGGTCTGTTAACACATCAGAATCACCTAAATTTCCTACTCCTCCCTCCTGATATAGCAAAACACAATCTCTGTGTATGAGACTCAGAAATTGCCATCTTTTATAAGCTTCCCAGATGATGCTCAGTGAAGTCTGAGAACCTCTGTTCCAGAAAGAAGAGATAAGACAAGGTTGGAGGCATACCTCAGTGATAGAGCACATGCTTAGCTAGACTCAATCCCCAGCATCAAAAAAAAGAAAGGACAGAGAGAACCAGATTGAGAAAAACTGTAACATGAGATGAACAATAAGAAGGATGCTTTCTGGCTTGAGAATACAGCTCAGTGGCAATGAACTTGGTTAGAATGTATGAGGCCCTGGATTCAATCCAGAGTTACACACACACACACACAGACTTTTATAAATGTTGCTCTTCAACTCACTCACCTGATAGAAGAGTGTGCTAAATCCTCATCAGTGCCAATTGCTCTAAGGACATAAGAGGGCTCCAGAGATGCAGAGGTACAAGCACTGAGGAAAGGGACAGTTCATCATCAACACCTGCTTCAAGCTCCAAATCCCCAGTTCATGCTCCCGCCCCGCAGGGCTATGGAGTCACAGCACAGGGATAACAGACACCTGATCTAGCGGACAGAAGGGCCTGATGCTGCCCTGCACATACTACAACTTGAACCTAGCTCCTCTGCCACAGCACGGCAGAACATAACAGGGCATGGCTGGATCTGATGGGAAGAGGCAGCACAGACCTTGTGCTCACTCCCCCAGAACAGCAGACACTATCTGTGCCAGCCTAGAGAGCACTTAAGGCATTGGTGGCCTTTGAGCATCTTCCGTTCTGGAGGCCTACAACACAACTGCTAGCGTAACCCTAGAACAGATATGTATACCCCTGGGAACACAAAAGGAATAAAATTCTCCCCCAGGAAGCCCTGCTAGGGTGGTAAACCTCAGCCTATGCCCAGCCAGATAAACAAGATGACCTTTATCGTGAATCGAGAACTCTTGTGCTTATCTTCTCCGTAAGAGAAAGCTTAGTAACCTGTATGGAACTTAGAAGACAGGCTTAAGGACCCGGCCACAGTCCCTATTTACACGGCGCAACTCACCTCCCTGAGGACAAAGCGACATCCTTGAGTGCCATCAGCAGACTCTCCCCTTCCACATATGCGAAGGAGAGGTTGATACACCCTAGAACACCGAAGCAACTCTGTGAGGGGTTCCAGAATCTTAGTCTCTTCCAGGATGGGGGGACGAAAGGCAAGGGCATACCTGGGTAGTGGTGTTCAGGGTCCCCATTCATCACCACATCCGGAAGGCTCTGCATTATCTTCTGCGTTAGCCGCTCTGCTAACTGTGAGATCCGCTTGTGGTCGTACTGAGAAATAGGCAGGGAGGACTAAGCAGAGTGGTCCCCAACCATCGGAGAAAACCCATAGTGCCAGGAGCCCTCTCCTCCCCCAGGAGTGACTGCATCACACCCCCCTACGACCTATGTCATCAGAAGACCACGGCACACCCAGCACTAAATACAGCGCCCAGGGTGAGAAAGATGCCCAGTAACCGAGCATGGAGTCCGACAACCCAGAAGCAAATCAGCTGATAACTACTCATGGGGCCTGGGTTTTGGAGCCCAGTAGCACCTCCCTCAGAACAAGAGGACAGAAGCATCTGGAGAGGGCAGGGTTTTCCTAAATTTCTTCCAGCAGAGGTCTGACCTAGCCGTCTTGGGACACCATTAAATAGCAGACCCAGCACAGGGGAAGAAGTAGTGGGAGGAAACTGCTCTCCCCATACCTCCATCTCTTGCTGTGCCACCTCACACGCAGCCCCCAGCCCCACCACCAAGGGTGTGGGCACTGTCCCAGACCGCATACCCCGCTCCTGTCCCCCTCCACTCTGTAGGGGCTCCACACGCACTCGGGGCCGGCGGCGGATATAGATGGCACCAACCCCTGGGAAGCAAAATTAATTAAACAAAGAAGAGAAACAGAGAGACACAGATGAAACAAAATATCATTTTTCAAAAGGATCAAAATATTATTTCCACTTTTCTATAAACTTAGAATTTTTTCTAAAAAAAAAATAAGAGAAGAAATGGCAAGAAGAGCATAATATTTAGCAAAACTATTTAACATCAGAAAAGTAACTATTAGCTGGGCATGGTGGCGCATGCCTATAATCCCAGTACTTGAGAGGCTGAGGCAGGAGGATCATTGTGAGTTTGAGACTGAACTGCACAACAAGACCCTATCTCAAAAAGACCAAAAAAAAAAAAAAAAAAGAAAGGTAACTACCTGAGGGAATAAATACCAAAATGGTATAAAGTAGTTCTCTAAGAATGAATGAAAAAAAAATCATACATTGCAACATTATTTAGAAGAGCAAAAAGATTAGAAATAATTTGGATGGAGCTGGGCATGGTGGTACACGCCTGTAATCCCAGCACTTGGGAGGCTGAGGCAGGGGATCACCTTGAGTTCAAGGCCAGCCTGAACTGCATAGCGAGACCCTGTAGCAAAAAGACAAAAAAAAGGAAAGAAAGAATTTGGATGGCCATCAGAGGAACGCCAAATAAGTTATCATATGTCCACTCAATGAAATAGCAAGCAGGTGTATCAATGATCAAGGAAGCTCTTTCTGTACCAACACTGTAAAACTTCTAATATACATTGTTAGAAAAACTGGTGAATGGAGAGAGAGTTAAGATGTACTTTGTAAAACTGGAGATGTAGGGGGCTGGGGATATAGCTCAGTGGCACAGCGCCTGCCTGGCAAATGCAAGGTTGTGAGTTCGATTTCTAGTACCAAAAAAAAGTAGAAATGTATTATGATTTGGGGTTTTTGTGTTTTTTTTTTTGAGACAGCGTCTCGCTATGTAGTTCAGGCTGGCCCGGACTTACTATATAGCCCAGACTGGCTCAAACTCATAGCATTTCTCTTGCCTCAGCCATCAAGTGCTGGGATTGCCAGCATGCGCCACCATGCCTGGCCTAAAATATACTATGTACAGGTACCAATTCTCAATGATGAATGTAACCATTATGTACTGCAAACATGTACTAATAAAAAGAAAAACTGGTGAGATTCCCCCACATTCCGTTTGTGCAGTTAAAAATAAACAAAATGTACTGTTAGGTGAAAAAGCAAGATCAAAACGACTACGATATGCTATCATTTAGCTAAAAAGGGAGATGGAGAGGAAGTATATAGGTACTACATACTAGAAAATGCACAGAATAATTCTAGAAAACTACTCACGCCAGGCATACAGGCATAGTGGTACATGGCTACTGTACAGGCCCAGCGCTTGGGAACCTGAAACAGGACTGGTTAAGCCCAAGAATTTGAAACCAGCCTTGGCAAGACAGTGAGTCTTGTTGAATGGAGGGGGGGAAAGAGGAAGGGAGAGAGGAAAGGAAGGAGGGAACCAAGATACCATTTCCCCGAAAGGGTGGAGACAGGAGTAGGAGGTAGACTTTCCACTGTCTGCTCTTTTGAATTTTGAAACGTGTGAATATATTACCTGTCCTAAGTTTAAAAAAAAAAAAAAAGAAGCAGAAATAATGGGTTAGGGGGTAGGAACAGTGCTAAGAATTAGCACAGTCTCCCAAGGTCTATCAAAACTTCAATATATGTAAAACCTGTGACCCACCAAAATAATTTATGAAATTTGTACAAAAATATGAGCATGAGTATGCAAAAATATTCAGTAAATAGTCCAGGGTTTTTAAGCAATATGAGCACTTAATAAAATTCATCTACACAGAAAAACTATTTAGGCTCAAAATGGAGGTAGTGAGCAGGCACTGCGGCACACGCTGTAATCCCAGCACTTGGGAGACTGAAGTAAGAGGATCACTGCGAGTAGTTCGAGGCCAGCCTGAAATACAGAGCAACACTGTCTCAAAAAACAAGACAAAGAAGAAGAACAGGAAGTGGGGTGGAGGAAGAGGAAGAAGAAGAAGAGAAAGAGGAAAAGAAGGAAGTGGTGGTGCACACCTGTAATCCTAGCACTCGCGAGGCTGAGGCAGGAAAATCGTTGGGAGTTCGAGGCCAGCCTGGGCTACAAAATGAGCTCAAGGTCAGCCTAAACTGCATAGTGAGACCCTGTCTCAAAAAGACAGAAAAAAAGGAAAAGAAGGAAGAAGGGGAAGAAAGAAAATAGAGATACTATAAAAATTAAGGCAGTGGGGGGCTGGGGATTTAGCTCAGCAGTACAGCGCCTGCCTGGAAAGCACAAGGTCATGAGTTCAATTCCTGGTACCGGAAAAAAAAAAAAAAAAAAAAAATTAAGGCAGTGGTTCCCAAGTTTAAGTTAATTACTGTATTTGCTAAGAAATTCAAACTGGCACAGTGGTGCATGCCTATAATCCCAGCTACTCAGAAGGCTTAAGTGAGAGGATCAGAAATTTAAAACCAGGGGCTGGGGATTTAGCTCAGTGGCACAGCGCCTGCCTGGCAAGCGTGAGGTCATGAGTTCGATTACTGGTACTGGAAAAAAAAAAAGAAGTTCAAAACCAGCTTGGGCCAGGCATGATAGGAGATACTCTTTTTTTTTTTTGGTACCAAGAATCAAATTCAGGACCTTGTGCTTGCCAGGCAGGCAATGTGCCACTGAGCTATATCCCGGGCCTGGGTCAGGCATGATGGAACACATCTGTAATCCCAGCACTCTGGGAGGCTGAGGCAGGAGGATTGCCATGAGTTCAAGGCTAGGCTCTGCTAATTAGTGAGCTTGAGGCCAGCCTGAATTACAAAGCTAGACCCTGTCTCAAAAACAAAATAAAACAAAACAAAATCATCTTGGGCAACACAGTGAATAAAAATTAAATAAATAAATAAAATAATAAAAATAATAAAAAGTGCTTTTGGCTACTGCTAAATGACACTTGCAAACTGTGCGTGGTAACACACACCTGTAATCCCAGCACTTGGAAGACTGAGGCAGGAGGGTTACCTTGAGTTCAAAGCCAGCCTGAGGTACACAGTGAGTTCAAGGCCAAACTGAATTAAACAGAGTGAGACCCTGTCTCAAAAACACAGCACTCGGGAGGTTGAGACAGGAGGATCACTGCAAGTTAGAGACCAGCCTAGGCAACATAAGTGAGCTCAAGGCCAGCCTGAACTGCATAGCAAGACCCTGTCTTAAAAAGACCAAAAAAAACAAAACGAAACAAAAAAACACTAAATAAAAAATACATACATACATACATAGACACTTGCACTCTGCAAAGCATTCTCAATGTACAAGTTCCCTCTGACAATGGTTTTAGCTCAACTGACTCTCAGAAACATTTGTCAAAGGGTTTGATGGGACGTTCAAAGAAGAGGAAATCTAGGAGGAGCTGGTACCTTTAGGACCATAGATTTTGTGGCCACTGATGCTCATGAGATCAATTTTCATGTCATTGACATCAAGCGGGATTTTTCCAACAGCCTGGGCTGCATCAGTATGGAAATAGACCTTTCTGGCACTGCAAATCTGCCCTGAGGAAATAACAGAGGGAAGACTCACAGTACAATGTTGGGACATAGCCAGGAAACAGCCCACAATGCACTATAAATTGTCTCTACCCATAGTAAATTGCTGCTAATATTATAAGCAAACCCCTTCCCATTCCTACCCTGTCTTTTCCTCCTTTCTTTCTCTTCCTCTTCCCCGTGTCTCTCTTCTCTCTTCCTTTCTCCCTTTCCCCTTTTCTCTCCCCACCTACCCCCACCCCACTCTCCCTCTAAACATCAAGGGTAAAGCAGCAAATGAAAACCCACCTGATATTCTCATGCATAAGATTTTTCTTACCATTTCATTAATATTGGCCTTTCAGTAAGTAACATTACCTTTTAGAACTTTTTTGATTTAAAAGATTGACAGATCTTGGGCCAGGAATATAGCTCAGTTTTACACATGTTAAAAAATAAACAAAACAAAACAAAGCAAACAAACAAAAAAGGAATATAGCTCAGTGGAATCGCGCCTGCCTGGCACGTACAACGTCCCAAGTTCAATTCCCGGCACAAAAAAAAAAGATTGACACATCTATTTTTTTTTTCTTCCAGTACTTGGAATCGAACTCATGACCTTTTTTTTTTTTTTTTGGTTTTTCTCCGGTACCGGGAACCGAACTCATGACCTTGCACTTGCCAGGCAGGCGCTTTTGCCACTGAGCTAAATCCCCAGCCCCCGAACTCATGACCTTGTGCTTGCCAAGCAGGCACTGTGCTGCTGAGCTAAATCCCCAGGCCCAACACATCTTATTTTAATGTGCATAAAGAGATTAAAGGAGCTGGGTGTGGTGGCACACACCTGTAATCCCAGCACTGGGGAGGCTGAGAAAGAAGGATCACTTGGAGTTCAAGGCCAGCCTGAATTACATAGGAAGACCTTGCCTCAAAAAAAAAAAAAAAAAAAAAAATTAAAAGGCCAGGATGTGGTGGTACATGCCTGTGGTGGTACATGCCTAGGAACCTGGGAGGCTGAGACAGAAGGATCACAAGTTCAAAAGTTCAATGAGGCAGAAGGATCACAACTTCAACTCCATCCTACACAATTTAGCAAAGTAGTAACACTCTATCTCAAAATAAAACATACGAAAAGAGCTAGGGATGCAGCTCAGTGTGAACTGAGTTCAGTTCCTAATACCAGAAAAAGAGAGAAAGAGAAGATTATAGAGTGAGCTCTAAGTGGGGATGATGTTCTAAACATCATTGCTATTTGCTTTTGGTCTTTGTTGTTATTTTGGCCAAAAATGTAAAAAAAATAAAAATAAAGAGGGGGAACACAACATAGCTCAGGGGTAGCGCACTTGCCTAGCAAGTACAGGCAAGGGTTTAATCCTGGCAGCTACCTGCTCGTGGGATCAGTGCACAGTGTTAAAACTCATCATTTGGAGCTGGGAATGCTGCTCGGTGGTACAGCACTTGCCTAGCATCCATGAGGCTCTGGGTTTCAACTCCCAGGTGCCACTAACAAATAAAAATAAAAAAAGGTACTAAACTTTCCGGGCTTGGTAGCGCATGCCTGTAATTTTAGCACTTGGGAGGCTGAGGCAGGAGGATCATTGCAAATTCAAGGCCAGCCTGGGCTATGTATGCAAGTTCAAGGCCAGCCTGTACTATACAGTGAGACCCTGTCTCAAAAACAAAACAAAAACATAATAAAAAAGGTACGGGACCTGAATTCCAATATGGGTTGTGCCACTTAAAATGTTCATGAACAAAGCACTTAAAATTCTGCTTCCTTTGATTTCCTTACTACACTTTATAGTGTTAGAGCTCCTAGCCTACTCTTGCTCCTGAGAGCAAACTCAGTGGTAAGCAAGAGTTAGAGTTAAACCACAACACTCACCTATTTCTGCAATAGGTTGTTTCACTCCAATCTCATTGTTCACAGTCATAACTGAAACCAGGCTGGTATCTGGCTGGATGGCAGCCTCTAGTTCCTAGGAATATGCAGAAGTAGGGGCTTTGCTGATGATCTGGAGCCAACAAAGCCCTTCCTTGTAGGCAAGTGTTGAAAAGAGGCCTTTTACTAGGCATGGTGGTGCATGCCTGTAATCCCAGCATGAGGCTGAGGCAGGATTCTAGGTTCAAGGCCATTCTGGATTACAGAGTAAGTCTGAGCCTGGGCTACATAGCAAGACCCTGTCTGGAAGAGAGAGGTGAGGGGAATGCAGGGAAAACAAAAGACAAAAGAAAAAAGAAGCAGCTTTTCACTGTACCCCTATCAAAACGTTTAAAACAAAAATAATACAGGGCTGAGGATACAGCTCAGTGGTAGTACGCTTCCCTGGCATACTCAAAGACCTGCATTTGATTCCCAGTGCTTTAGAAGAAAAGTCACAACACAAAATGCTGGTGAGGATACAGAGAAAAGTAAAATGGTATAACTGCTGTAGAATACAGTTTAACGGGTTTTTATTTTGTATTGTTTTCTGTTTTCTCAGAGACAGAGTCTTGCTATGATGCTAGACTGGCCTCAAACTCCTGGGCTCAAGCGATCCTATTTCAGACTCCCAAATAACTAGGTACAAACCTGTACCAGTCTGTTTCCAAGAAAAATTACATGAAATTACCATATGACACATATATTGCACTCTTGACCATTTATCCCACAGAAATAAAAATTAAATTCACAAAAAAACTTGTAAAAATACTTGCTTGCTCTTCCTTCCTTCCTTCCTTCCTTCCTTCCTTCCTTCCTTCCTTCCTTTTTCTTTCTTTCTTGGTGACAGGCTCTGTTAAGTTGCCAAATTGCCCAAGATGGGCTTGAATTTGCAATCCTCCTTTCTCAACCTCCCAGAATGCTAGAAGTACAGGTATGCTCCACCATGCCCAGCTCACAAATATTCTTAGTAACTTTCAGACTAGCCAAAATCTAGAAACTTCCCAGATATCCTTTCTTTTTTTTCTTTTTTTTTTTTTTTTCTGGTACCAGGAATCAAACTCACAACCTTGCACTTGCCAGGCAGGCACTGTGCCGCTGAGTTAAATCCCCAGCCCCCCAGACATCCTTTCATGGGTACATGGTTAAATAAACTTTGGTACTTTCTGAGCAAGATCGTACATGCCTTTAATCTCAGCATTCTGGAGGCTGAGGCAGGAGGATCACTGCAAATTTAAGGCCAAGCTGGGTTACACTGTCAGTTCAAGGCAAACCCAAACTACACAGCCAGACCATATCTAAAAAAAACCAAATTCAACCAAACGAACAAACAAATGAACACACAATAAAACCCCTATGGTACATCTAGAACACTGAATAGTACTCAGCAATAAAAAAAAACAAACTACTTCTACATGCAACAGTGAATGAATTTCCAAAGACATATGTTGAATGAATAAAGCCAACTCCAGGTAACATACTGTATAATTCCACTTATATAACATTATGAAACAACAAGTTTCAAGAAATGGTGAACAGGCCAGGTATGGTGGCACACGCTTGTAATCCCAGCACTCAGGAGGCTGAGCCAGGAGAACTGTTATAAGCTCAAGGCCATACTGTGCTATATATAAGCTCAAGACTGGCCTGAATTACATAGGGAAACCCTGTCCCAAAAAACAGAAGGAAAGGCCGGGCGTGGTGGCGCATGCCTGTAATCTGAGCACTTGGGAGCCTGAGGCAGGAGGATCGTTGAGTTCAAGACCAGCCTGGGCTACAAAGTGAGCTCAAGGCCAGCCTGAACTGCATAGAGACTCTGTCTCAAAAAGACAGGGAAAAAAAAAAAAAAAAAAAAAAAAAAACCCAGAAGGAAAAAAGAGAAAGAAAAAGAAAAAAGCAAGGACAAGGCTACCATTAACAACATGGACGCAAGAACCATGTCTGAGTGAAACATATCATGAAGGAATTTTTTTTGGGGGGTGCCGGAAATTGAACTCAGGACCTTGCACTTGCCAGGCAGGCACTTGTGCCACTGAGCTAGATCCCCAGCCCCCAGAAAGGAATTATTAATCACACCACCAACATCTATTATGCCTTTGCCTGACACTGGGCTGATCAAGGTCAAATTCTCTCTCACCATCTTGTTTGCTTCCTTCATAGCAAATAATTATTTCATTTTTATGTTTATTTACATATTTAATACCCCCTTCCCTGGAATGTGAGCTCTGTGAAGGTGGGAAGAGCTAACCTGTCCTGCCTGTCCTGCTGAACCCTCTCTCCCTATTGCCTGGACTACGGCATAATAATACAAAGTGAAAGAAAGGCACTATGTTAAGTATTATGAGAAGTAAATGTCTAGCCAGGGGTTTTGGATGTGGCTCAGTGATACAGCATTGCCTAACTTTTACACACACACACAAAATAATACTACACACATATAATCCCTACACACAAAAAAAATAATACAATAATCATCTAGTCAAGTGTGTGGCACACACCTATAGTTTCAGCTACTTGGATGGCTGAGTCAGAAGGATCTCAAGTTTGAGGCCAGGCCACATAGTAAGTTCAAGTTACACACACACACACACATAAACAGACACACACAAACACATACAGATCAAAAAAATGAATGAAGAACAAAAACTATCTGGTCACCTAAAAACAGAAAAATACAATTGATAAAAATCCAATTTTCGAGCTGGGCGTGGTTACACATGCCTGTAATCCCAGCACTTGGGAGGCTGAGGCAGAAGGATCATTGCAAGTTCAAGGTCAGCCTGGGCTACAAAATGCGCTCAAGACCAGCATGAACTGCATACTGAGACCCTGTCTCAAAAAAAGACAAAAAAAAAAAAGAAAAATCCAATTTTTTTTTTTTTCCTTTTTAAAACTTTATTGCAACATAACTATGTTTACAGAAATATACTCATAATGGTTAAGAGAATACAATTTAACTTATCCTATAACCCCTTTGTGAGAAAATATCCAACAAACCACTTCATCAAATGGATAAAGGAGGGGGCTGGGGCTATAGCTCAGTGGCATAAGTGCCTGCCTGGCAGGCGCAAGGTTGTGAGTTCAATCCCCAGTACCACAAAAAAAAAAAAAAAAAAAAAAAAAAAAAAAAAAAACAAATGGATAAAGGACATCTATAAAAGGACACCTCCAAGAAAATCTAGAACTAAAATCATCCCTAGTGATGAAAAAACTAAAAGTTTTCACCTAGGATAAATAATAAAGAGATCCACTCGTGTCACTTCTATTCAACATTGTAGTACAAGTTCCTGCACTGACTAGGCAAAAAATAGAAACAGCATCCAGGTTGGAAAGAAGTACTAAAATTATCCTTATATGAGCACACACACACACACACACACACACACACACACACACACACACACACACACACACCCTCGCTGGGAATGTAGTTCAGTGGTACAGCACTTGCCCAGTATGTACAAAGGCACTGGGTTCAATCTCCAGTACTCAAAAGTAAAAAAAAAAAACAAAACTAAGTATCATTTTTTAAAAATTTGAAAACAAATATCCCACAGAACTGACATTATTCTGGGCAAGGTGACAAGCACCTCTAACCCCAGGACTACGGGCAGCTGAAACAAGAGGATCACAAGTTCAAACACAGCCTGGGCAACTTAGTGAGACAAAATAAAAAATAAAATAAAGGAAGGGCTGAAGGGTAGATGGGGAGGGAAGGGAAGGATTTAAATAAACAAGCTGTAATGCCATCAGACAAAACTTTAAACTCAAGGAAAGGCTGAAGAGAAGGATTTAACCTGGGCTCCTCCTATGCTGTCCCACATACCAAGGGCCACTCCTACCTTTAGATCGATGATCCCACTCTTCTGCACTGGGAGGTAGGTAACACGAAAGCCCTCTGCTTCCAGAGAACGGCAAGAATCTAAGACACATTTGTGTTCTGTCTGGGTGGTGACCACGTGCTTTTTCCGTGACTTATAGAATCTGGCTACTCCCTAAAAAATTGGTGAAGTGGAAGAAAAGAAAAATGCTCAGAAACAATTATGAAATCAATCTTATTTATAAGGGAATTTTTTTTTTTTCTTTTTTGGTGCTCAGGATGGAACCCAGGGCCTTGCACATATTAAGCACACATTCTAGTACTGAATATACCCTAGCCAGTACTTGATACTCTCAATATTAGTATCAGAAGAAGTTATCAAAAATAGGTTAAAATTCCTGGAATTTTAATTATTATTAAAAAATAACTGAGAACCATCCAATTTATTTAGGAAAAAAAGCATAGCCAGGTGCAGTGGCATGTACATGCAATCCCTGTACTCAAAAAGCTGAGGCAGAGAGCTGGGTGTGGTGGCGCACACCTGTAATCGCAGCACTCAGGAGGCTGAGGCAGGAGGATCGTTTCAAGTTTGAGACCAGCCTGGGCTACAAAGTGAGCTCAAGGTCAGCCTAAACTCCATAGCGAGAACCTGTCTCAAAAAGACCAAAAACAAAAACAAAACAAAACAAAAAAACAAACGGTGAGGCAGAAAGGATAATACATGTGTTCTCTAACATGTGCAATCTAACAAAGACAACATGAAAGAGGAAGGGAGACTATTAAGACAAGAGAAAGGAAGATGGGAGAGGGGTGAAGGGGGTTTAAGTGAGGGTAATGAGGGGGACAAAAGTTATATCATTAGGAGATAATCTACCAGGTATGGTGACACATGCCAGTGACCCCAGCACTCAGGAAGGCTAAGGCAGGAGGATCACAAGTTCATGCCTAGTCAGGGCATTTGTGACTGTCAAAATAAAAGAATTTTTAAAATGCTGGGAGAAGGGCGTGGCAAGACAGGTCTGCAATCCCAGCACTTAGGAGGCTGAGGCAGGAGGATTGCTGAAAGTTCAAGCCCAGCCTGGGCTACATAGTGAGTCTGAAACCAGCCTGAACTGCACACTGAAATCCTGTCTCCAAAAACATCAAAAATAAAAAAGGACTCGGGATGTAGGTCAATTCAAAGGCCCTGGGTTCAATCTCCAATATCAATGAGAGAAAGAGAGAGCATCGCCAATTTTTATTTTTCAAAAACCCATTTATGTACAGAGAAACCAAGAAATCCCCTAGAATAGTGTTCATTTAACTGTTTTAATCTGTCACTATGATTGAGATGCTGAGCAAATTTTTCTTTTATTTTAAGAGCATTTTTTTCATTTAGGCTATTATAAAATGTTTCTAAGCAGAGGAAATAAAGAATTGTAAGTATGTGAGGTAATGGATATGTTAACTATCTTTATTTTATTTATTTATTTATTTTTTTGGTGGGGGCGTTTCCGGTACCGGGAATGGAACTCACGACCTTGCACTTGCCAGGCAGGTGCTGTGCCACTGAGCTATATTCCCAGCCCCAATTATCTTGATTTTAGTAATCACTTCACAACGTACATGTATCTCAAAACATCAGGTTGCATACCTTAAATATATATGATTTTCTTTGGCAATTATACTCAATTCTTTTTTTTTGTTTTTGTTTTTGTTTTTTTTCCAGTACTGGGACTCGAACTCACGACCTCACACTTACCAGGCAGGCGCTGTGCCGCTGAGCTAAATCCCCAGCCCCCTATACTCAATTTTTTTAAAAAAGAAAAGAACCTGACATAGAAAGATCACTTGAGTCCACAAGTTGGAGACCAGCCTAGGCAACATAGTGACACCCTATCTCAATGAAAACAAACAAACAAACAAACCCAGAAATGGTAGCATTCTCCTGTAATCTCAGCACTGACACAAGCAGACAGAAAGTTTGAGACCAGCCTGGGCTACATAGTAAGTTCAAAGGCAGCATGCAGAGGGAGACACTGTCTCAAAAAAAAGAAAGAAAGAAAAAAAGAAAAAAGAAAGAGACATTCATATCTGCATATGATTATTTCCTGAAATAATGCTAAGAGAATTAGTTTACAATTAACTTTGTTGGGCCAGGGATATAGCTCAGCAGCACAATGCCTGCCTGGTAAGTGCAAGGTCCTGAGTTTGATTCCTGGTACCAAAAAAAA